TTTAGTTGAGTGCGTCTGCGCTGAAATTGAAACTGGAAAGCTCAGGCTGCGATGGTGCGTGACATGCAGAGTGGAAGTCTGTGGGCATTGCGACGATATCATCCAAAACGACCATATAACGCATATAAGATATATATGTTTAATGGAATCAGCGGCACCTCGGTGGCATAGATGGTGGGGCGAAGCAACGGGTCATTCTTTGATCTCTGAATTTTTGGAACTAGTCTAGAAGGGCCGACGCCGACACCGGCTGAAAATACTGTGGCCAGAGAATGGATTTTTTCAATCGCTGTGCAAAATACATCAAAATACACTTTCCGAACGTAGCATGTCGCCAAAGGCCCCCCAACACACCGTGAAGAAGCAGGAGTTGCCTGACAAATCAAGTCAAAACTGAAGCAAACTCGGTCAAGCAGGTTGACGCCAGCAAATAAAGCGCCCTGGCAACCACAGGTCTGCGGATGGCCTGGAATGACGCTTCAGGGTTGTAGACATGCGCTGTGGCGAGCCCTTTGCACAACTAAGGGTGTAGCCATTTTGGGATTGCTCTCCTTTGTCTGCAAATGACACGCTTGCAGCGACACTTTTGAAACACAACGTGTTTCGTTTTGTTTGGCTCTTATACCAGCCCCAAAAGTCCTACCCAACGAAATGGACAAATGGGTGCCTGACGTAGACGGCACAGTGTGTTTCAATTTTGACTCCTCAAAACTGATTCTTGAGGTTTTCGCCAACATCAGAGCAGCCCGACAAAGGTTCCAAGTCTTCAGAAAGTCCCTAGTAGCGTCCTTTGCTCCGTTCATAGTAAGGCCAGGAGCCCCGATCGTAGCGTCCTTTGCTCCGTTCGTAGCGATGCCAGGAGCCTACTAGTAGCCAGTCTTCAGAGATCATCTTAGTCCCTGGAACCTCGAAGGCGTTGGACGGCGGCGTCCGACAGTTTCCTGAGCTCGCTGCATCCCTTCTGGCCACGAGGGGCAAAAGTCCGCGACCAGCAAGCTCAGCTCCTGTTCCATGGAAAACATGTCCTCATGACTGTTGAAATTGAAGAACATGGCGCTGGGGATCCTAAATACCTTCTCAGAAGGTATATGGACCCTCCAAGCCTACATAAGTGTCGAACACATCACCGTCTTAGAGGGCGGCAGTGGATCCATAAAAATAGCCAGTGGATCAATACACCAGTTTAACCAGTTCTGTGGACTTGCCCACCAGTTCAACCAGTGCTTTGGACTTGGCATATGCCATCCAAACTCCCCTGCAAGTCTTTAAAGGACAACAACCAAACCTGCAAGTCCTGGGTCCGCTTTTTCAGCCACCGAAAGGGTCGAGCCAACACGTTCTTGAGCCAACATGATCGCCATGCTCACACTATGCAAGGAAAATAGCACCAGTCTCAAACACTAATGCCAGTCATGCTGTCACACAAGGGGGGTAAGGGGGGATATCATCATGAGCTGTTCTCACACTCGGTACGAGCGCCTGCAAATAGTCAAACCAGGGTGCTCTTTGTGGATGTTGATGACTACTGACTTGCTTGACCCACCATCCAAATGCAGGGGGTTGTACCAGTTTACATGTTTGCAGGAATTCTTCCGTCAGCATTTGGGTTCAGGCCTACCATGTCTGAAAACCCAACAAGAATAGGCCCTAGGTGTTGGGAGTGTCAGACTGCCGGGTGTGCTAGCAGGTGTCATGGATCGGCACCCCCGATCTGCGCGGCGTCTCCCAAACGCCGTCGCCGGCCGTCCGGCGGCCGGGCGGTGCCTCCGACTCCACCAGTTTGGAGAAGCGAAGGAGGTACTCCAGGATCTGCGACGTGAGGGAGACGTCCACGTCGTGCGGGTTTGAGTTGAAAAACACCATAAATCATCCGAGTGATGGGACCCCACAATTTCGGAAATGATTGGGTTTCACTCAGGATGATTGAGGCTGAGCCAAAACCTTCTTCGGCACGGATCCAGCGCCAAGAAACAAGACAAACCAACACGTCCGGACGTGCTCCTTCCTGTCGTGCCCCTGTCGTGTCTCTCGGCCCTCAACCGCTTCGCCACGTCCGGTGCACGGCCGGTTCCGTGCGGCGCGGCGGCCTCGTCGTCGAAGGGCAGGGGGCTCCCCAGCCAACCTTCCAGCTCCGCTCGCCGTGCGGAGCCTGGAAGGAGCGAGCGAGCGGATGGAGGTGGCCTCAATGGAGAAGTGACTCAATGGGGGGAGGCTAAGGTGAGAAAGCCAGCGACTGAAATGGTGGATATCTCACTCCCACTGTGACAACCAGAAATTCCCTGAATGGATTACAAGCTACAACCGACTGCTGGTCATGGAAATTCCCACCATCCATGGACTCCACCGACCATGACTGGTCATGCAAAGAGCCTTCAGTCCCAACGGGTGACGCTTCGGTTTCAGCTGCGGCCCACCGGTTTCAGGTTTAGGGTTCGGTTGAAACAGCTTAGTAAGTAAATCCGGTGGTTTTTTCTCTAGGTGTCATTAGTAACCGTGGTTTCTAGTGTAATTTTAGGAAAGCAAATTTAAGCGTCATTCATAACCCCTGCCTCCTTTGCCCCTTCCAGGGCCCCTGGAAAAATCTCCCGTGCCTCTCATCTCATTCAGCTGCCTCGCAACCAGGACAACGGCAGGAGAGCCAGAAAGACAGAAAAAAGTGGTTGTCAGATGTTGTCACAATATGTCACAATGGTTTAACACTTATCATCCCCATCGTTTGTCCAGCCCAAAGTTGTCTGTTGCATGTTTCTTTTGTGGCTGGCGGCCTGTTTGCCTGCCTTCCATTGGATCATGATGGCTGCTCCACTGGCCAAGTGGTTCAGGAGTTCAGCAGATCGTTCATAGGAGGAAGTTCCAGAACACCTTCAGTTGTGCTTGTACAGGACTGTGCCAAGTATTTCTGCGTCTGCGGATGAGCTGAAGCTCCTGCAATGACAAATGAACTCGAACACTGAATACTATCCCCTTAAGGACTTGGACAATGCAGTGGAGTTCGTTGCCGGAATTCCAACACTGACGCCTGGGGCCAAATCTTCCCACTTCCCCGGTCGACCAGAAAACCACTTCCAACACCTTCGAGGCACATGCCGACCTCTCTCAGAGTGCCATGCGTCGCCCGGGAGCGAGCATCGGTCACCAAAGTCGGAAAAACCGTGGAACCCACACGTGCTGAGTCGTGAGGTCCATCCCATCCCTCCAATTGGCGCCCGAACCGGTCCCTGTTCTGGAAAATGTCTGGACTGCTCGTAGCATCGAACGCATGTGATGGCCCAAGTCAACGCCAGCTTTTTGGAGGAAAATCGTCCATTCTCGACCCACATCTCAGACCCACCGCACACGGGTTGTTTGGCAGAAAGCCTACACCAAAGAACCACCACCTGTCGATCGCCGCGCTTTCGCGGCTTCACCTTCACCCCGGGACTCGACCCTTCTCCCATCCGATCCGAGCCGAGCCACTGGAGGCCGTCCATCGGCACGGCGCGACGAGTCGTCGCGGCCCATGGCGCTGCACGCGTGGCCCACGCGCGGCCGAGGGGCCGATGGCCGAGGTGAGGAAGGTATGTCGAAGGGTTGACGATTGGTCCGATCTAAGGGGGGTTCAAGAGGTTTCAAGTACTGCCTATAGCCTATAGCCCACTTGATTCATGATTCATGACGTTTGACACATCAGGGTGTGTAGTAGGGTCTAAAACCTATTGATTTCAAACGCTTTAAGAAGACACTCGGTAAATCGCCCATGTCAGATGCTACTGGGTCGGTGGATCGGAGTGCTTCTGCTGTGGCGAGGTCGGTCGCGAGGCCGGCGAGGCAGTCGTCAGAACCTTCAGTGCACCACTGGGAAATGTGCCGACTCTCTTCACCAATTAATGGCAAGAGGAACATTTGGTGAAAAGCATGTGCGAATTCAGCTACCTCAGTTCTCAACAGACTTGATCACCAAACTGCATCTTATATATCTTATTCTCAACCGCTGCATCTTCTTCACGCAAAAATATGCAAAAGCAAAAAATGTAGGAATATTGTGAACAAAAAGAACAAACAAATAAACCGTGGATTCCCAACTCAAACTGAACATGTGAACTCAGAATAAGGACACCTAAGGACACCTCTATTCGAAGTATATAATTAGGAGCTGACACATGGACTTCCCCAACCGTAAAACAACGCAGGGGAGGCTGGGAGAACCGAATCCGGTAAGCCTCTCTCCCCACGGGGTGACGTTCCAGCTCCTCAACTCACTGTCACGGTCAACATGATGAGATTAAGATGATTAAGCTCTTCATTAGCATTTTCCGGTCAACCAACACACAACACCCTAGGTGACCGGAGAAGCCCCTTCGCTTGGGGTCTGAAAGGATGTTTGTTTTCGTTGCACCATACACCAAGCCGCAGCTGCGACCATACACCACCCGTGCTTTTGCTTTGAAGGGCCAGCATCGTCCCGGTTTGGCCAATCCACTCAGATGGCTCCGCTCGGGTCCCCCTCGGGCTACATCGCCTCGGTCGGCTCGGGACTGAGGGAAAAGGAAAATGGCCTGAGCCATTTTGAGAGCCCGTCTCGCGGGGACATGAACGGGTCAAAAAAAAGAACATGAAGCCAGTGATCCGTAGCCTTGGTTGACCAGCGAAAATGACGATATCATGAACAGAGTATAACAGAGTCCTTTATAAGGGATGTCAACCTACTAGTACCATGACTTTGTCAGGTAATGCTTTGACCCACAGCCAGAACGGGTGCAGTGTTCTTTTCATGTGCGTGTTTCTGGGAGGGAGCGTGGCTTCAATTTGCAAGAAGATCATTCAGGGGGAACAACCTCTCCTTGGCACGCAAGCCTCGCCAAAAGCATGGAACACCTCAGGTGTCCATCAACCCAAAACTACATGATTGGTGGGTTCACACCGCCAGGTGCTTCGATGTTTTCCGTCAGCTGCCCTGTCTGTCCGGCCGCTCCCTCTTCACCTTCCACCTTCGTTTAGCCAGGACTGGGGCGACTAGTCGCTTAGTATCCCCAGCGGGGGCCACCGCCGAAAAGGTGCACCGGCGTGTGGTGGACGAAGTACCAAATGCAGCGGCCAATGAAGCCATAGGCGCACTCATCCTGGGCGATGTCTGACGCTCCGGCTCTGGCGCCGAACATGAGGTCTCGGTCTAAGACCAGTCTCGGTCGTTTCACTCACCAACATTGCAGAGTGCACATCTTCATGTCTTCATGGAACATCCAAACATCCAGCAGGGAAGGGCCTGAGTCAAGCTTGTGCAATTAGGGGGTACCACCAATTCCGGGCTTCATCCCAGTTCTCTATACCAGCACGTGGAGTGAGTGGGAGGGAAATGCAGGCGCACAAAGGGGGCGGCAAAGCAGAACGGTCCATTTGTCAGGGGCTTCAACAGTGGATTTCAGGCAGCCACCTTACAAGGGTTTCTAGGTCTACGGAATGGTTACCTACTAGTTGGAACCACTGCTTACATACAGCTTAGTGGTAACTGGATCCGTTGGTTCGGAATCAGTCCGAGCATCAGTCTTGGAGGCTTCAATGAACTCCTTCTGCACGGCACAAACCTGACCCCAAACGCACATGAGGCCGGAGTTCTTCTGCCAGTTGGCGCCAGCCACGAAGCAAGCGTCATCTGGGCCCAAGGATGTGGCGAACATCCCGGCACCCCATGGCCAGTGCATGTCCCAAACCTTCAATGGGTCTCCGCAGCAATCAACAGTCTTGCTCTGGAAGAGCAGCCTGTCTGTCTTCTCGATGTTGGTGCAGGCCACGATGCACATCTCCTCACCGGGGTAGGAGATCTTTGGGATGGGTGGAATCGGCCAATCGTCTGGCTTCTTGCCTGCCTCTTCAATGCACCCGTAGTTGCAATCGCCCACAGCATAAATGCGGGGGAAGCCCTTCTCATCTGCGCCCCAAAGCTTGCCATCGCGAGTCTTGACGGACAAGTTCTGGTTCTAGGCAACGGCTGCACGTCAATACAATCTGATATGCCCGGAGTGATCTTAGTGGATCCCAATTACTGCGATATAGACATGCATACATATAGTAAGGTGCAATGAGTATGGTTTTGGTGTGTTTTGGAGACGCGAACAGTCAGTTCATGCCTCATTAATTTTTAGGGTTCTGGGAGGCTGGGCTCAAAGGGCTATGGGTGAAACCTAGGTGTGCTCAAACACGTCCTGCTGAGTCATTTCGAGCATGCAAAAGAAGGCATGTTTTATGGTTAAGACTAGGACGGTAGCTGGTCATCTTCGATCCCATCTCTCCCATTCCCACGTCAACAACGCGCTGAACACTTGCAAGCGCTGAGGACGCCACCATCAGAATCCAACCTCCGCCACCAGGTCCCTTCTCGCTCAGGGTCTCCTTTGGCATGAAGTAGTTGGACGCCTTCACACCAATGCACACGTACTCCTTGTCCGGACCGTTGGGCAAATCGATGCTCTTCCAGAACTCAGGATTCTTGGCATCGTACTTGGTGTTGCAGAACTGCTTGATGCCAACCTTGTTCATGTACTTCTCCTCAGTCTTGCATCTATGGTGTGTGTTCCTTTCAGTGGCACAACTGTTCCTTCACACACCGAGTCGTTTCCATGCATGTCCATCTTTTGGTACGTGAAATGCAGCATAACCTTGTGAAAAGTAGATTGGTCTTGCGTGTTTCGCCTCATCAATACCAGATAAGGGTAGAAACCGTCGAAACCAGTTCATTGTTCATAGAAACTGATGGAGGTAGGCAAAATCCTCCTCTTCCCACTTCACATTGGCATGACCTGTCAAATCTTTGCAAGCCCGAACGCTTCCACACCCCTCACGCCACTTATATATCGCCCAGTGGCGCAATACTTGGCCGCCGTGGCAGGGAGGGGGCCCAAGGGCTGTGGCAAAAAGTCGATGATGGTTAACTTCACCTGGGTCGCGTAGCTCCCAGCTCCGGCGGCACAGAAGGCACCCCAAAAACAGCGGGTTTTTCGCTGCGGGCGACGCCAAAAGTCTGATGGATTCGTTTCGTGGAAGCAGAGAGTCTGCGCAGCCGAGCGAACAAGCGTTGTTTCCACCCCCCAAAAAAGGGGAGAAACTCGGAATCGGCTAAAGCCCATATATCCAAACCCGGGCCATGGGTGTGTACTAATCATAATAATCGCCCCCCCAAAAAACAGGTGACGGATGATGAAGAGTGAAGGGATGTTCATTACACCATCTAACTCCCGAACCCCCCTGGTCTAGGACATACATCAAACATACGTCTGACTGACTTTCCTCAGTCCATGGATGCCCTGGTCTAGGGTCCTGGTCCGACCCCGGGCCCAGCCATCATGGGTGACCGGGAAGGTGACCTCCCTCGGTCCCTGAAGCACCAGTTCCTCACGTCTGTCAGTCATTTCTTCTAGCACCATTTTCTGATCCAAAACATCCAATCCGCTTCTTGTTCGCCGTGGATGCCTCTCACCAGTCTCTGATTGTAGACGTCCAAGGCACAAACAATTCTGAGGTGGAACTTGCTCAAAAGAGCTCGAACGTCAAAAGAAAGGGTCTATGAGTCTTTCTTTCAGTCACACACGCTTCAGTTCAAGATCTAGTTTTGCACTGGAAGGGAAACCATTTCTTCATTTCTATCAGAACCTGGGCAAGTTCACAAATCAATTTGGCCCCATCATGGGCCGGTCGCATTCTTTTTGGAGCTGCAGCTACATTACATGGCCCCAACATGACATCCACGCACATACCATCGAAGTAGGAGCCCCCTGTTTCTAGAGGAAACATGCTGTCTTGCCACCATGTTCCACCTCCATGTGAGTCATGATTCAGGAGTCGACGTCCACTTCGCTCCACCCGAGGTCGGCCCTTCGACAGTCCCGAGCTGGCATTCGCACCTGCAGTCCCAGGCGCTCTGGGGAAAAAGTGCTGAATCTCCGTGGCCCATTCCACGCCGATGAAGCCAGCGCCCACCACGAGGCAGGTGGCCGACTTGTCGTGGAGACTCTTCAGGAAGTTGAACCTCAAATTCACTCGCGGAAGCAAGAACACCGCATGACCACACGTGCTTTCCCGGCCCAAAACGTACCTGGACGTGCCCCAAAGGGCCAGGCGGCTTGACATGGTTTGCTGCGTTTTGACTCTGCTTTTGGTTCAGGGCGCCCTCCTTTCGGCCCCCTACTCCTCCAAGCAGCTCCTCCAAGACGTGTCGGCGGCGACCCTCCAAATACCGCTCGTCCAAATGTGGCCAGCTGCCTGCGCTCGGCTTTTCGCACGGCAGACACACAAAACCATCAGGGGTCATGTTTGGGCAGTTCATCCAATCCCAAGCACCAAGCCTGGGTCTCTAAGGGTCTAAGACTCCACACCTTTTGGTCAGTTTCCGGTGGAAAAAAGCGGAACCAACTGAGCATCTGGGTCGCTCCAAATTCGATGCGGTTTGTGTTTTTTCTACTTCCATCATAGTGCGTCAGAATGTATGATTTGGGGACGACTTCTTCTGTCAGTAGCAAAGGAATTGGCCGGCCAATTCACTGGGACACTGCATGCCAGCTAATGGAGTTTTGAACCAGGCTTACCTGTGAACAGTAGGGCTCCATTGCTGACCTGCTCTCCTGCTTCAAGTCTTCCCTTCCAAAGCAGCCAATCGGAAAGCTGGCATTTGAAGGGCTGGTTCCTTTCGCGATCCAACGATTTGTCAGGGTCATCTCCACTCCCACAGTGCACGCCACACCCATCTTAGATTCATGAATTGTCTAAATATTCTAAATGTTAAAAAATGAAAATCTACAAAAAGGTTAATTTCAACCAAACCCATCAAGAAACGAAACTGTCAGCGAGCCTCACCTCCAGGAGTTGTCCCAATCTGTCTCAAATTGGCACGACATGGAGAACAATTCGATTGCAAACTGCTGTTGGTCCACACCGCGGGGGGGGGGTTTCACCAGGTCCAAACGCCATCCCCACCTCCAGTCCTCGGTCCAGCAGGTCCAAACGAAACGATTCCCTTCCTCGTCCGGTCCGGTGGATCTCACCACGGCGCCTTCGGGTCGAGCATCTTCGTGGATGGTGGGGAACCACAGGGATTCACCCCACCTGCCAGTGCCGTCGAGGTTCCGCCGGGGCGAAGTCGGGCGAAGTCTGTCACCGGACTTCGCCGAAGTTCGACTGAGACTGAGGCGTTCTTTGGGGGAGACTGGCTGAGAAGTGCAGGTGGGATCTGGGTGGCTGAAGAAGGAGAAAGTGCCTCAGGATCGACTTAGATTCGATGTGCTTTTTGGGGTGCCAAATGAGGCCCAAAGAAAGGCCTTTCCCGGATCCACTGCCCTCTGAGAGGGTGTTCTGTGTACACTTGTATGTAGGCTTGGAGGGTCCACGGTTTCTTCTGAGAAGGTATTTGGGATCCCTGGGGTGAACCAGCATGAACCAACTATAAAGATCTGTAAAGTGTAAAGCCTCTTAGTGGGGAATCGTTGACGGCTTGGAACTGGCAGGGAACATCTGTAGTTCCAATATGAGTGGAGAAGGGCACCCCTATCCTCCAACAAGCACCTTTGAATGCCTGCACCACAACCCATCCCCAACAACCCATTCAAAAAAAACACACACAAAACAACCTTTGCCGCTGCCCAGTTGCTTATGGAAGGGCCCAAAGTTGCAGCCTGCCGCGATGATGCAGTAGTCGAAATCAATGGTCTCCTCAACCAGCGGAGGAGTTCAGCACCCACCCAGACCAGCTGACGCACCGGGAGCCGGCCTCCCTGGACTCATTTTGTGGAAGGACTCTTTCACTCCACGCCCAGGAAAGGTTTTTGTGCTGACCATGGGGTAGATAGTGGAAATATACAGTCTGACAAACATCCGGATCCAGGACTATGGTACAACAACAAGGAAGTTGTCACACATACACACCAAAAATAAACACTTGGAAGGGAAAAAACATATTTGGCGCACGTGTTTCTCCTTCGGCCAGCCGGTTTCCTTCACCTACATCCACCTGATATCACCTGATCTTGTGGGATCCGTGCTCGCTCCAAAAACGCCTCGTTCACGTTCCAAATGCCTCGTTCACATCCAAGCCACACGCTCAGTCGTGAAGATGGGCTTGTAGGTGGCCGTCTTCTGCTCTGCATTAAGCTCCTGAAGATCGGTCCGAGGCCACCGATCCACCGATCCCTTCGGATCAACACCCGGCAGAGCCACATGGCCGGTCACTGAGCCAGCCGATCGGTCGATGCCGAAAGCAGGCCGTTGGTTCTTTTGGCACAGAACCATGGTGATCCATTGTTTTGTGCTTTTACACCTCTTCACAGAAATATTCCATCCTGCTTGGTGGTTTCAACTCACTCACAAATATTTTACGTTTTACAAGATGTATATAAATACTAGAAGCACCTGAGGCAAGAATTCTTGCCTCAGTTCAATTTGCCCGACAAAAAATAGTTTAAGTGGCCTTCCAAAAGCCATCACCACTACCTAAAAGCCACCAAGCTATCTCTTCCATGAATGCATACCGTGTAGGTTTTGCAAGAACCCTCACCAAGGGCGATGTTTACGTACCATGTTCGACTCATGAAATTGACAAAAACTGCAACAAAGGTTCAAGCCCTTGAAAAGCACTGGTTCGGGAAATTAACAGGAAATGTCCAAGTTGTCCATTGTTTTTCCCGGGTATGTCCGCCTGTTTTCATAGGTATTCCCGCCAGGTTTTTTCATTTTAGACTGAGTGGTTTTACTTTGTGTGCGTTCATTCAGCAAAATAAGCCTTCAAAAGCAAAGAGTCACACGATGGTAGGCAGATTTGCCCATTCTTTTTCTCAGTGAGGTGACCACTCCATAAAAAAGACTCGATGCAATCCCCAAACAAATTATTCAGAGCCCCAAATTTCCAAACTATTCGTGTCACTAGATTCCTGAAAGGAAAAATCACGGCCACAAGAACATTCGCGGCAAAAAGTGTCTTCCATATGTTTCCGCTTCAGGACAGGAAGAGCCGCTCTTCCCAAAAATTATTTTGACACTGTTCAGTGGAAATTACTGGGAATTCTGCACATGGTCAGGTCATTTGTTTGATGTGTGTTTTTTAGAGGGGTTGCGGTGTGCCATATGTATATATATATATTTATACATATTGCATTCACACATGTCAAAACCCGGAAGGTGTGCAAGCACATGTTGAATTTGCAACATTTGCAAGTGTTGCATGTTTTCTGGATTCAAGATTCAAGATTCCGGGAAAAGTTTTGAGGTTCTGGATGTCAGTCAGGGCTTGGATTCAAGAACATTTTCCCAGAACCGTTAATCTGATAATCGGGAGTATCAGGAACAGGAGAGAAATGAGTTGGAGCAG